ATCAAAAACTACAATAAACTGACTCATGGAATCAAGTATTTAAATGTATTTTAGTGCAAGTTATTATCCCTTAGCTCTATCCCTAAGGAAGTCATTTCAGTACATTCCTTGTTCAGTGGTGTCTACTTTATTTAAAAATTTTTAAGTTAGAGGGCCTGCCCCTTTCAAATAAGGCTGTGGCCAGCACTTTAATCGCTATCACAGCGTTTTATCCTTTTGTTTATGCTGGTTACTGGTGATATACTTAGGGAAAATCTCCCACCTTTCTCTCAGAAAAGACAAGTATTGAACAAATAACAAAATGTGTTGTGAGGGATATAGCATAGTAAAGACAAAGAACTGTAGGAGCATTAACTACGGAAGTGAATCTAATGTGGAAGGACTAATGAAAGGCTTGCTGAGGAAAAGGCCAGTGAGGTGTGAGAGTGAGGAGAAGCAGAGAAGACAGGTAAGCATTCCAGCTGATTAAATACATTCAGGTTCAGAAGTAAGAGAAAATGTGCAGAAATCAGCACAGGGCTTGCTGAGGGCTCTGGATAGCAACTAAAGAGCTCTACAAGTAGAGTAGGATAATGATGGGAGTTTAGGTTTTGTTTTTGGTTGGGGTTTTTTTGTTTGTTTGTTTCTTTTTTAGGATAAAATAGTAAAGATAGATTTATTAGAAAGTTACACCCCCAGAGAGCTGGACAATTCCTCCTTGAAAGGAAAAATGGAAGAGCGAGGGCATTGATGGGTGTTTTTAAAATCAGTTTGGCTTCAGAGCCTTTAGGTGAAATCTGATTTTAATAGCCAAGGGGACTAATTTCATCCTGTCTCAAAGGTGTTAAAGTGTTACCTAAGAGTTAGTTATGAATTTCTCTGACTGAAATGATCTGGGGCTATTTTGGCATACTGCAGAAGGGCCAAATAGTGAAAAAATAAATACACTTGGAATCCTAACAACATACTTAATGATTTCAGAGCATACCAGAGGATCTTGTCTCAATGGCTGAGAGATATAAGGCCAATAAAGAGAAAAAGGAAATGGGGAAAAAAATGGGAAGATCCCAAGGAAAACCCAAGAAGTTTTATGACTGATGTATATTGAACAGTGCTAACAGGCCACTGGAGGTAAAATTGAGAAACTCATTGGCTTTCAAACACCTGCTCTCTTTTAAAATAGGTTTCATTTGATATTCTTAACTAAATTAGCACTGCCTCTAGGGGACTGTTTTCAATATGAGTTTATTTTTAAGTCTTTTTTAAGTTTAGAAGTTGTACTAATATAAAGTTGAGAGGATACATTTAAATTGCTCAGAAAGAGTTGTTATAGGGTTTTTCCAGCTATAAATTAGTTTAACCTCTCCAGAGAACAATTTGGCAATAAATCAAATACACACTTTTTTCCCCCTGCAAATACATATAATCTTTGATTCTGGAATGTTTTTCTTATAAATGTAATCTAGAAATTATACTTGCACTTACCACTAGAGATAGCTAGTAGCAGTATTTGTCATAGCAAAAGATTCTACCTGTCCAGTAGAGAACTTGGTGAAAAAAAATCATGGTGTATTGATATGCTATGCTGTTGTTTTTGTTTTTTGGTTGTTTTGTTTTCTTTATTTTACGCTAGTATATTTACAAAATTCAAATACATTGTATTAAAGAATAGATTCTTTCAATTTCCCCTACCCTCCTTCCCATCAAATTGTACAATATAATGATTAATACTCCCTCCCCCTGCACATCCTCATCTCTCTGCTTCCACCCGCTCCCATCCCTCTTGGATCCTTATACTCACTCTACAATAATGGTTTTACACAATGCTTATCCTTGTGGGACTGAGTTAGTTCACTTAGCATAATGCTCTCCAGTCCCTCCCAAGTTAGGTAATAATTTACAAAATCGTTGCTCCTGCATGCTGCATAGTAGTCCATTGTGTTAAGGTACCATAATTTCTCAATCCATTAATTTATGGTTGGACATTTGGGCTGTTTCCATGTTCTTGTGATGGTGAATAACACTGCTATGAATTATTGGTGTACAAATCTCCATTTGTGCCTCAGTTCTCATAATTCTCAGGGTATATTCCAAGTAGTGAAATAGCTGGGTCATATGGAATTTCTACGTTCAGCTTTTTGAGGAAGCACCAGACATGGTACTTCCAGAATGGTTGTACCATTTTACAGTCCCACTGACAATGTATAAGAGTTCCTTTCTCACCACATCTTCTCCAACATCTATTACTTGCTGAGGTCCTGTTAAACTCTGCCACGTTACTGGAGTGAGATGGTACCTCATTGTGATTTTGGTTTGCATCTCTCTTCTTGCCAGAGATTTTGAGCATTTCTGCATGTTTCTGTTGATCATTTGAATATCTTCTTCCTCTGTGAAAATTCTTTCCATATCTTTTGTGCATTTTTCTTTTCTTTTTTTAATTATTAATTTTAATGAAAATTTACAGAGACT